AAAAAAATGATAATAATAATGATAATTATAAAATAAAAAATAAAACAAAAATAAAAAAAAAAAAAGAAAAAAAAAAATTTTTTTTTTTTCTTTTTCTTTTTTTTTCTACATTATAAAGACAAACAAACAAATTGAGCTTAACAACTTAAAAATATATTCATTCATTATTATTATTATTATTATTATTATTATTATTATTATTATTATTATTATTATTATTATTCATTCATTCATTAAATTTTTTAATTTATTTATTGATTATTATTATTATTATTATTATTATTTTCTACAATAATAAAATTTCGTGTAGTGTAGTGCCTTCGTTTTTTTTTCTTCTTTATTTATTTATTTATTAATATTTTTATTTATTTATTTTTTTAATAATCAATAAGTATTATTTTCCCCTCTTTTTCCCTTTAGTTGTTATCAATGGAATAATCATCATTATACACAGATTAAAAATCATTTTTTATTGTTTATTTATTTATTTATTTTTTACAATTTTATTTAAATAAAATTGTACTATTAACATTAATTTACCTTTTTTTTTAACGTGTATACATATATATATATATATATATATATATATATATATATATTTTGGCACTATATAACAAGGGTTGTAAAAATTTTTTTTCTTTTCACTTTATTTATAATAATTAAATTTAAGGTTATAAAATAATAATCAATAATAATTAATATTTTTTTAAACGATAATAATAATAATAATAATAATCGTGACATTTTATTTATTTATTTATTTATTATTATTATTAATATCATTTTTTTTTTTTTTTGATAACTATCATCATAATTAAAAATTTTATTATTTTTTTTTTATTACAATGATTTCTCAATTTTATTATGAATGAAAATATACATTTATTAAAATTACTATTTATTTATTTATTTTTTTGTTATAAGTAGGACTTATTAGCTTCACGGTCTTTTCTTATTTATTTATTTATTTATTATTATTATTAATTAATTAATATATATATATAATTTTAATTATTTATTTTGAGCATTAAAATTAATTTCTTTTTTACAAAAAAAAAAAAAAAAAAAACAATAGGCATAAATAACACCTTTTCATTTATTTATTTATTTTTGATAATAATAATAATTTATTCGATTAATGTATTTTTTTTTTTAATAATTATATAAATTATTATTATTATTTTATTTTTAATACTCAGTATCAAATTATAATTAATTTAAAAACTCAATCATCGTCATTTTTCTTTTTTCTTTTTTTTTTTTTTTAATTTCTATATATTCTATAATAACAAATTCTGCGTAATAATAATAATAATAATAATAATAATTATCAAAACTCTAAAAAGGGGTTTTATTATAATACGACACCAGACCATAAGCGTAGAAGTCCTAACCTTCTATTTAAATAACAATTATTACCAATAACAATAAATGTTTTAATAGGATAATTCTATTAGGGATTTTAGTGGCGAGCACGTTGGTACAGTGAAAACTTTTTATTTATTTATTTATTTATTTTTCATTTATTTATTTCGTGACAAAAAAAATAAAATAAAATAAAAAAAATTAGGCGATTGTTTATGGCGCTTATTAATTTTAAAAAACAAACAAAAAAACAAAACGATGAGGAAGATTATTTTCATTATTATTATTATAGCAATTTTTTTTTTGTTTTTTTTTTTCCCCCGTCTTTAATAAATAACAACAAATTTAATATAATAAATAACTTTTAATAATGTTTTTTATTTATTTATTTAAATAAATTATTTCCCTCGGTATATTTCAATAATTTTATCTTGATCAACGTAATCAAATATGTGAGGCGCGTCCATAATAATACCTACGGTACCAGCTGTTGTTACTATAAAGAATATAAACAACTGGAGTCTGTCTATGACCATTGCTACGTATTTCCAGTCTTCTCGTATCTGTAATAATAATAATAATAATAATAATAATAATAGTAATAAATTTATTAATTATTAAATTTGTAAGTTTAGAGAGTGAAATACATGTGAGATTTATATTTTAAAAAAAAATGTCTGATGGTTTGTTTTCCGGATTAAAATAAAAAAAATTTTTAACTTTAGATAAAAAAAAAAAAGGAAAAAAGGAAAATTTTCTCGGTAGGATTGAAAAAAAAGGAAAAATCAAAAGTTGGAAAAAAAAATCGTTTTTTTTTTTTTTTTTTTTTTTTT